ATGTATATATATATACAATGGAATACCACTCAGCCATAAAAGAAGACAAAATCGTCCCATTTGCAATAACACGGATAGACCTGGAGGGTATTATGTTAAGTGAAATAGGCCAGACAGAGAAAGACAAACACTGTATTATTTGACACATATGTGGAAGATAAACTAACACATGGACAGGGAGAACAGTTTGGTGGTTACCAGGGGGGAGAGGTTTGGGGGGTGGGCACAAGGGTTGGAGTGATGCATTTATATGGTGACAGACAAACAATAATGTACAACTAAAATTTCACAATGTTATAAACTATTATGATATTGATTAAAAAATCCCATATATATGTGGCATACAAGAGACACACTTCAGACCTAAAGACACTCAGAAACTGAAAGTGAAGGGATGGAAAAAGGTACTCCATGCAAATGGCAATAAAAAGATAGCTGGGGTAGCAATACTTATATTAGACAAAATAGACTTTTAAGACAAAAACTGTAACAAGAGACAAAGAAGGGCCCTACATAATGATAAAGGGAGCAATCCAACAAGAGGCTATAACACTGGTAAATATCTAAGCACAAAATATAGAAGCACCTAAAAATACAAAGCAATTATTAACAGAAATAAAAGGAGAAATAGACAGTAACACAATAATAGTAGGGGACTTTAATACTCGGCTTACATCTGTGGATAGATCATCCAATGAAGTTCAATAAGGAAACGTTGGCCTTAAATGACACATTAGACCAGATGGACTTAGTAGATATATACAGGACATTCCACCCAAAAAGCACAAATACACAGTTTTTTCAAATGCACATGCAGCATTCTCCAGGATAGAGCACATATTAGACCACGAAACAAGTCTCAATAAATTTAAGAAGATTGAAATAATACCAAGCATCTTTTCTGACCACAAGGATATGAAACTAGAAATCAACTACAGGAAGAAAATTGGAAAAGCCAAAAATATGTGGAGATTAAACAAAATGCTACTGGACTGCTATTGAGTCAATGAAGAAATCAAAGGAGACATCAAAAAACTGGTGCAGCCACTATGGAAAACAGTATGGAGATTCCTCAAAAAATCAACGATAGAACTACCATATGATCCAGCTATTCCACTGTTGGGTATTT